AGAATTTACCTAAGAAGCCAATCTGGACTATAGTTTTGATTTTGGGGAAATTTTTAACTATAGATTCAGTTCCTTTAAATAGGTATAGAGCTATTCAATTTTAAAATTCTTTATATATCAGTTTTGGTAATTTCTTATTTATTTATTTTTATTGAATTTATTGGGGTGTCATTGGTTAATAAAATTATATAGGTTTCAAGTATACAGTTATGTAATACATCATCTCTGTGTTGTATTGTGCATTCACCACCCCAAGTCTAGTCTTCCATCACCCTTTATCCTCCTTTCACTCTCTTTTTTTAAAAATATATTTTATTGATTTGCTATTACAGTTGTCCAGTTTTCCCCCCTTCACTCCCCTCCACCCTGCATACCCTCTCCCACCCATATCCCCCCCTTTAGTCATGTCCATATGTCATACTTATAAGTTCTTTAGCTTCTACATTTCCCAAACTATTCTTACCCTCCCCCTATGTATTTTCAACCTACAATCTATGCTATTTATTCTCTGTACCTTTTCCCCCTCTCTCCTCCTCCTACTCTCCTGTTGCTAACCCTCCATGTGATCTCCATTTCTGTGGTTCTGTTCCTGTTCTAGTTGTTTGCTTAGTTTCTTTTGGTTTTGCTTTAGGTGTGGTTGTTAATAATTGTGAGTTTGATGTCCTTTTACTATACATGTTTTTTCTTTATCTTCTTTTCTTAGGTAAGTCCCTTTAGCATTTCATAAAATAAGGGCTTGGTGATGATGAACTCCTTTAACTTGACCTTATCTGAGAAGCACTTTATCTGCCCTTCCATTCTAAATGAAAGCTTTCCTGGATAGAGTAATCTGGGATATAGGTTCTTGTCTTTCGCGACTTGGAATACTTCTTTCCAGCCCCTTCTTTCCTGTAAGGTCTCTTTTGAGAAATCAGCTGACAGTCTGATGGGAACTCCTTTGCAGATTACTGTCCTCTTATCTCTTGCTGCTTCTAGGATTCTCTCCTTCATTTTTACCTTGACTAATGTAATTATGATGTGCCTTGGTGTGTTTCTTCTTGGGTCCAACTTCTTTGGGGCTCTCTGAGCTTCCTGGATTTCTGGAAGTCTATTTCCTTTGCCAGAATGGGGAAGTTCTCCTTTATTATTTGTTCAAATATGTGTTCAATCTGTTGCTTTTCATCTTCCCCTTCTGATACCCCTATAATTTGGATGTTGGAATGTTTAAAGATGCCCTGGAGGTTCCTAAGCTTCTCCTTGTTTCTTTGAATTCTTATTTCTCCATTCTCTCCATTCTGTTTGGTTGTTTTTTTCTTTCTTCTGGTCCACTCTATTGTTCTGAGTCCCAGTTTCCTTCCCATGACTATTGGTTCTCCATGCATCTTCCTTCATCTCTTTTATGGTAACCTGCATTTTTTCATCTAATTTGTGCCCAAAATCAACCAATTCTGTAGCTTCCTGATCACCAGTGTTTTGAACTGTGCATCTGATAGATTGACTATCTCTTGGTCGCTCAAAAGGATGAGTCCTGGGGCATTGATCTGATCTTCTGTTTGAGACATGTCTCTCTCTCTCTCTATCTTTTTTTTGGGGGGGGTCTGGTCGCTCCTGTTACTGTGAGGGGCGGAGCCTTAGGTGTTCACCGGGGCTGGGCACCCCAGTCGCTAGATTGTGACATTGTATGTGGGGTTGGGGCGGGAGGGAACAATGGCGGTAGCTCCATTCTCCTGGGATCTCAGTCCCTTCCCTGGGATCCTGGGTTGTGTGCTCTGCCCTGGTCCACAATCACTGCCTCGCTGGGTCTGCCAGCTGCTGCTTGCATACTCAGGGTCCACCTGCTACGATCTTGTGCACCCCAGATGCCTTATGCGCTCCTGGTTGCCTTATGCGCCCAGTTCTCCCTGTTCTCTGCGCACTGTGACCCCCGCCCAGCTGCTCCTCTCTGCCCCTCCTACTGGTCTGGATGAACGGGTCTACTTCAACTTCTTGGCTGTCCAACTTCCATTCAGATAAATTCTCTATCAGTTCTGGGTGTTATTCTGCTTCTAAATTGTTGTTGTTCTAATCTTGGTTGTGCATGGAGGGACGGTGCATCCACCTATGCCTCCATCTTGCCGGAAGTCTCTTCTTTTTACTTTCTTTTACCTCTTCCCACCCCCCATGCCCTCCGGTAATCACCCTACTGTTGTGTGTGTCTGTGAGCTGTTTTCTTTTTTTGCTCTGTCCCTTCAGTTCTTTCATCCAGTCCCCCAACCCCCTTTCCTCTGACAGCTGTCAGTTGGTTTTCTGTATCTGTGAGTCTGTTTCTATTTTGCATGTTAGCTATTTTGTTCATTAGCTTCCACATACAAGGGAATCATATGGTACTTGTCTTTCTCTGACTGGCTTATTTCACTTAGCATAAGGCTTTACAGGTCCATTCATGCTATCACAAAGGATAAGTTTCCCTTCTTTCATTTAGAGCTGTGTAATATTCCACTGTGTAAATATACCACAGCCTTTTTTATCCACTCATCTACTGATGGACACTTGGGCTACTTCCAAATTTTGGCTATTATAAATAAGGCTGCAATGAACAAAGGGGTGCATACATTCTTTTGAATTAGTGTTTTGGGTTTCTCTGGGTAAATTCTCAGAAGTGGAATTGTTAGATCATAAGGCAGTTCCATTTTTAACTTTTTGAGGTAACTCCATATGGCTTTCCACAGGGGCTATACCAATCTGCATTCCCACCAACATCACAAATGGTTTAGAACAGTAATTTTCAACCGGTGTGCTACAAGAATTTTTAAACCACGCAATACCTGACCATTTAGTCAGTGGCACTGACTTACTTCCGCTTAGATTGTCAAATAAAAAAATGGCAACCAGCAACACAACAATAGCTGTCTGTTGTGAACGAATCAAAATTATAACTATTTTTTGTCAGATCAACAAAATATATAATTTTTTTTGGTGTACTATAGAATTTTAGTAATTAGTTTATGCATGCCATGAGATGAAAAGGTCATTTATTGATCCCTAGGCCTCTGTCTCTCATTCTACAGAGTTTTTAATGACAGGTCGACATCCACCCTCTCCAACACTGCCCCGGTAGTGATTTCAATGTCCAGATAGCTCAGCCTTCCACAATCATGCCTTCGTAGTTCCTTGACCTCTTCTCTTCCAAAGATCTTGACCTCCATAGCATCTGTCACTTATTCCCATAGTCATACCTGACTCCTTGTCACCACCAATATATTTCAGCCTAGATATCTCACTGCCCAATTACCACCTCGTATATTTTTAGCTCTCTTACTCTCGCCTCCAACTCCGAAACTCCTCTGTTACTGGGCCTACAATTTACTGCAATCACTATTCTTCACCCTTCCTCATGCATCTCATGTTCTCACTTTCCTTCTTATTCAGTTAAAATTTAATGGTCAATCATCTTGGTTGTTCTTTTGCCTCTTTCTTGATTTAGCATACTCTCATACTTGACATAGCTTTAATGAGGTCATGTGCCCAAACCTGTGGAGCTAAATGTGGCTGCAGAAAGAATTGCTTCTGTTTAAATTCATAAATATTTATCTCAGGAGAATCCTAAATGCTACTTACCACTCAAAACTCTATTTCCCTAGTCAATTTCTTTACTCTCCTAGATGACTATTTGATAGCTTCTAATTTTTCCCTAGACCTTCAATAACTTGCCTTCTTTGCTTCCCATATTACTAAGAAAACAGAAATAATTTGAAAACTCCTAAGAGCTCTCACCACATTCTACACTTATTTTTACCTCTGTGCATCTACTATGCCTCCCTTCTCTTCCTACGAATGAATTGTACCTGTTTCTAGCCAAGGCTACCCACCTATCTAGGCATTACGTTTAATCTCTTACCTACTAGCTGATATCACTTCTTGAGCTTTCCCTGTTTCTCCTGCACCAGTTTTCTCGAGTGAGCCATTCTCATCATTATAAACATATTGTCACTTTCATATTATTTGAAATCCTACAACCCTGACCCCATTCACCCATTTAGATACTATTGCATTTTTTTCCTTTTAAAGAAAATTTCTTCAAAGCTTAATTATACTCACTACCTCAAATGCTCTCTTCCCATTCTGACTTGAACCAATTCCAATAAAGCTTTTTGCCCTCAGTGCTTCATGGAATGTACACTTATCAAGGTCAGCAATGAATCTGATGTTGCTAAATTCAATCATTGATTCTCAGTCTTTATCTGACTTGACTTTTTGGCATAATAGATCAGCTCCACTGTTCCTTAAATCACTTTCTTGAAAATTTGACTTCCAAGAAACCACATCCTCCTTACTTTCTTCATTGTCTCCAGTTACTCCTCAGTTTCTTTTGCCGATTTAGGTCACTACCCCACCACCACAATCAGGATACAGAACAGTCCTATCACGTCCTAAAATTCCCTTGTGCTCTTTCTTTGTCATCACACTCTTCCCCCAACTCCCAATCCCTGGCAACCAAGGATCTCTTCTCCACATATAACATTTAAGAAAAATGTTCATTCTCCTTTTATTGGTGAATGATCACAAAAAACACATAACCCATGCCCAAAGTAATGCAGAAAAACACCTTTAAAACCTCTTCTTTTAGGAGTTTGAGAGAGTTAAAAAACTTAAAAGCTTTTTGTAGAATTTCAACATCAGACTTTCTTAAAGTTCATTTGACACTAAAGTGATTTCTTTAATATTTCTGTACTTGAGCATGTTGTCAAATTGCTGGTGAGCTGGGCTGTTTATTAATGTGCTTGTTATTTCCCAGAGCCTTAACCTCTACACAGAAGGGCTGGTCATGCATGTTAAGACCATTCTTATCAAAAAAGAATAGTTTCTTCCTAGAAACCAGGACCAGAACTCAACTTGAAGGAGCATGTTGAAGGTATCATCTTTACTATTCACAAATTCTTAGATACCACCACCCCCCCCCAACCCTGGTCAGAATCAAGGCTACACATCTCTTCAGTAGCCTTTTCCTGTTGCCACCAAAATCTTGTAAGAAGAATGATTACCTGTGACAACACTGGGGATTTTGGAGAGAAAGCTCTTGACTGTTCTGATGGGCACACCCCCTGTCTTGTCATCTTGCATCTTTGTAATGATGTCTTCAATCTGAAATTAGAGAAAAGAAGTATTATTGTCTCCCACAAAGTAATAGTAAATGATATCTTCAAAAATAGTCAAAATGTGGGAACATGGATGCCAACAATAGATATCAGGAAAAGCCCCTGTCTGGTCAGTCAGGAAACACAGTAGCAGGATCTTCTGTAGACCATGTTCTGTGGGTGGGAGGTTAGAGGCTTATTTACAATAGCACAATGCATGGTCTGTAAGAATAACCCACAGTTTCACAAGGTAAGGAGGGAGAAATACATAGGAGTCTTGATGGGATACAACATGTATTGTATTTTTCAGACCATAAGACACACCTTAGGTTTTAGAGGAGGAAAATAGGAAAAAAAATTTTGAAGCAAAAAATGTGGTAAAATATTTAATAACTCAAATAACATAGTATTTTACCAATGTTGATGTAAACAGAACTCAACAGCAGCATTAACGACCATTATTCCTCCCAAAATGTGGGGGGTGGGTGCATCTTATAGTCCAAAAAATATGGTAATTCAATAAGTATGTGGTGAAATTTCTCCTGTTTCTCAAATTAAATTCAGATATAGGTTCAACCATATGAATTTGTCATATTCAACCTAAAATGATGGCAGTTTCTTATAGTTTAACCTAATGTAGTAACATACTGGACAGGGCTGCCTTTGGGATCAGAAAAAGACCTAGCCAGAGTCACTTATGAGAAAAAAAAGACTATAAATCAGGACATGGAAAGCTCTGAAACTGAGAGGCTGGAGGACAGGTCTCAGTGGTTGTGAGTGGTGGTGGTGTGAGGGTGGCCACCTTGAGCCAGGGTTAATGGAGAGCGAGGATAGACTTCTGTCCTTTAGGACTAAGGAAGACCATACTCTCAGGAGAAAGGCCACGGTAGGCTGTGGCCTGGAGCCAGATGCAAACTTACTGATGAAACCAGATACGCTGGGCCCTGGCTGGGTATCTCAGCTCATTAGAGCAGTGTCACATTATGCCAAGGTTGTGGGTTCAATCCCCGGTCAGGGCACATACAAGAAACAACCAATGAATGCATAAATAAATGGAACAATAAACTGATGCCTCTCTCTAAAATTAATAAATAAAAGTTGTAAAAAAGAGACCAGATACTATGTATATATGTTAAAAACAGAACAGAGAGAGGGGATGGACTATCAAGGAGGTAGGTACCTAAACTGGGAAACTTAGGTACAAACTACCAGTTTGTAGCTAAGAATTTACAAGCTTGGGCAGAAATTTTCAGAATAGGATATAGAAAAATCTGTAACAAGGACATAGGGTTTGTTTGTTTGGGGAGTAGAGAGGGGGAGGGCACCTGGAAAAGGGGGGAAGATAATGTTTAGTTTTCTCATACATTTTGTTCCACTGAGCAATAGGGTATCTTTGAAACACCAGGATGGGTTTTCTGAATGTTCCATAATAGAGTCACATGATATTAAATCTAGAAATTTAAAGCTGTAGCTTACCTAGTCTAACATATTAGTAATGCACTTTGAGGGTGAGTTTCTCAGTTATATGACTAATAACCTCTTTGAAATAAATAGATTAACTTGCTGGAGGCAAAGTTGGATATGGCATAACTTCATAATAATAATAGTAATAATAATGATAAATAATAGATAAAATATATTAAGAATTTATTATGTGCTAGTTATTATATATAGTATCCTATTTAATCCTCATAATTATTTCATAAACTAGATTGTATTATTATCCTTATTTTCATATAAAGTAACCAAGATTTAATGAGGTGTACCAATCTAGGTTAAGATGTGGTAACAAAAAACTCTCATAATCACAATGGCTTAATAAAACCCAGATTATTTCTCTCTTACACTCCAAGTCTATTGCAGGTCACCAGGGACTATACTAATGGTAGTTATTCTGAGACCCAGGCCGACAAAGCTGCCGCCATCTTGAATGTTGCTGGTCATTGTGTGAGAGGAACAAAAAATTCTGGAGAATCTTGCACTGGTTATTAAATATTATAGCCCAGAAGTTATACAGAACACATTTACTCACAATCATTTGGCCAAAACTAGTTACGTGGCACCACCCAACTACAAAGGAGCCAGGGGGTCCAGTCTAGGTGCCAGGAGGAGAGGGGAACTGACCACCTGTGAGTAGCATCAGTGCCATCACAGAGGTTAACAACCTGCCCGGGGTCATATGACTGCTCAGTTGTGGATCTGAGTTTGAACCCAGTCATAGACTGCCAGGCTCCCAACCCCTGGGCTGCTCTGCCACCCAATAAGATCCCCAGAAACCCAGTCAAGCAGGGAGACCATTCTCCCCTGAATATCTCTGGGTTTTTTCTGAGAGGTACAACTAGTGAGAGAGAATCTGAAGCTTCTGACCCCTCAGGCAGTGGATGGATATATCAGCTAGGAAAGAGAGCCATTCTCTAAAGACCTGCACTCTGTTAGATGACAGGAACAGAAGGATTTCATTCACATTCATGTTAACAGCTTCAGTTGGTGCCCCACCCCTTGTCTTCTAAATTCAACCTAACGATTTAGAGTAGATTGAGTATTACTGATAGTCAAGGGGAGTAACTCCTAGAGAAATGGACATTTTCAAAGTAAGCTATGCTTTGATCTGGTATGCTATCTGAAACCCACCATATGAGTTACATTGCTGCTTTTTATGAAATGGCCTGAAAGTCATGGGGAATTGGAGGGAAGCCAATAGTTCAATTCAGTGGGAACCCGGACTTGTCATTAGTGGGTAAATGATTTCCATTCTCTGCTGATGTGAGCTGGATGGAAAGATGGGCTGTGCAGAGGAAGTCCCCATGATGCTCTTATCCTCTGCTCTGTTTCGTTGCTTTACCATTAAATCTTTACTATTATTATATAAGTTTCAGGTATATAACATCATAATCCAACATTGTGTAAACTTACAAAATGATCACCCAAGACCTATATTCTATTTTGGTCCACATGTACCAAGAGGTATATCACTCATCAGAGGTCACGGCTAGATCACAAGGACAATCTCCTTAACCAACCAGAGAGGCGTCACATCCCAGCGGTAGTTTACAACATCAGAGGTGTAAAAGAATGTTTCATCAGTCCCCAGTTGACCCCTCTGTATTATTAATATACGTCTAAAGCCTGGCTCTGGCTTCATGGAGGGCAGGGTCTGCTCTTTGACTTTTCAGTTTGGTTGTGTGACTTTCATGGCTAGTGGGATGTTATTGAACATCACAGGAACAGAGGCTTTTAGTATCCCTGCATGATTAGGATTACCTTTACTCTTTCCCTCCTGCATCAGATAGTTGTTATTCCATGGAAGATGAGAGACATCTAGAGAGGAAGGGACCCACCCTTAGTTACATCGGTCAAACCTCAGCTGCCCTGCAGACTCATGAGTGAGAAATAAATGCTTCTTGTTGTATGCCACTGAGGTTGAGGTGGTTTGCTAGGCAGCAGAATTGTGGCTATAGCTGACTGACAACAGTGCCCTGAAAAAATGCACTTACTAAAAATTGCTGAGGCCACAGCAAATACTTGGTAATAAGAATCAATGAATCTTAGATGATATCCTAGAATCCAACCCATTTTGAGAATGGAGAAATTCCATCTACACCATTCACTATCTGCTAAAAATTCTCAGGGCCTATATACTCCACAACCCACTCCACTGCTGTGTCAGGCAAATTTGTGAGAGCTGAGTTTGATTCTGGAGCTCAGGCCACTACAACAGTAGCTAATAATACAGTCTCTGAAAATTTTTTTTGGTCATGGTTTCTGGAGGAATACTAAGGGTATAGACATATCAAAAAATTTAAAGTGAGCTCCTAGGAGATTGCATAAATTATAATGACAAACATTTTCAGGACACCTACATCATGATCAATACTGTCCTAGGTGTTTTCAATGAATTATCTAATTTATTTCTCACCTTTAAAATTTACTAGGTAAACATGTTGAAATTGAGGCTTAGAAGGATTAAGGGATTTATCCCAGGACACAAGGCTAGTAGGTGGCAAAGCCAGGATTCTTTAAAAAAATTTTTTTACCCTGGCTGGCGTAGCTCAGTGGATTGAGCTCGGGCTGCGAACCAAAGTGTCGCAGGTTCGATTCCCAGTCAGGGTACATGCCTGGGTTGCAGGCCATGACCCCCAGCAACCGCACATTGGTGTTTCTCTCTCTTTCTCCCTCCCTTTCCTCTCTAAAAATAAATAAATAAATATTAAAAAAATTTTTTTTAATTATTTCTTTATTTTTTAAAAAATATTTTATTTATTTATTTTTATTTATAGAGAAGGGAAGGGAGGGAGAATGAAATGGAGAGAAACATTGATGTGAAAGAGAAACATTGGTTGGTTGTCTCTTGTACGTGCCCTGAATGGGGATGAAACCTGCAATGCAGGCGTGAGCCCTGACCAGGAATCAAATCCACAGCCTTTCACTTTGCAGAACGAAGCCCAACCAACAGAGCAACACCCATCAGGGCCAAAGCCAGGATTCTTGCCCGAGCCTTTCTCACTCCAATGCCCAAGCTCTGTCTATCAAATGTAAGATTGATCTTTGCATCCTTAACCAGTGCCTGCTGGCATGCTTTTCAGATACAGGCACTTAATACTGTTTGTATTGAAGAGAAAGTTTACTTCAGTCCTAAGGGGGTAGAGCAGGAAACAGAAATTGATCCAGGTAATCAGATTATTAACCATCTCTGAATTGATTTTGGCTCAATGACTGAGGGGCTCAGCATTCTCTGTCTTTGTCCCAAGGGCTTATTGGGATTTATCTTCTACTGATAGATCACATCTTCTGGGTTGGGAGCAGGGAGATGGGGAAGTATATACACATATTTTCTTGACTGTTCAGGTCTATCTAATTTATGACATCTTTTGTTCCTGAAGAAGAGCAGCATCAATACCCTGACATTCTTGAATATGAAGTTCTGTGGCATTGGGGAGCGTGTTGGACCTACATTTCATTGTGCCAATCAATTAACAGGTGACCCTTATCTGACAGCCAAGCGATGCA